TATAATAAATTAGAAAATAAGATATATATTTTCTTTATTTAAAGATTTGATTGGAATAGATCTAAGAAATTGAGGATAAGGCTTTAGCACATCTTTTTGAATCTTGATAGTAGATTAAAGAGATTGATGACTCAAATATCTCATCCCACCAATCTCTTTAGATCGACAGTCAAGATTTGACCCTACAAATTGAAGCAAACGCCAAGACATACAAAATCTATATAAAAAAGACTATCCCACCTCAATAAATCTAGACCTCTCTTTAAATGTTTATCTCTCTCTCTCTCTCTCTCAAAGATCTCTCTATATATAGCACACCCCATTTAGATTTTCAAAATATCTCGTACGTTTTTTAGAAGGGGCACACCTCAACCAAAATTTCTCTCAAAGCTAAGGGGCACGCCCAAGTTATCTCTCTCATTTCTAAGTGGCACGCCCAAGCTAAGATTAGCTTTCGTTTATCGATTCTAAGTGGCATAGCTTCCGTTTCTCGATTCTAAGTGGCATGCCCAAGCTAATGTTAGTTTTTGTTTTTAGGCACACCGTTTCTAGGCACGCCAAGCTAAAGTTAGCTTGTGGCGGTTTGCTCTTTCTTTAATCTATCTCTCATCTCTTCAAAGATAGATCAAGCCAAAGGGCTTGAGCAAGACTAAGGCATTGAGACTTTAGGCAGTTGGTTTTAGATTGAGATCCATAACTCCAATGGTTCTAGATGAGATTCATGACTCCAAATGTCAAGCCAAATGGCTTGATTATTGATGCTTTAGTTAGTTGGTTTTAAATCAAGATCCATATGTCATTGAAAAGGTTTTGTCATATATCTAGGAGACAAGAGACCGATAATAGATCCCGATCACCATCGAAAAGAAGAAACTCGATATGGGTCTACTAAGCCGGTTGAGGTGTTTTACTTATTTAAATATTTATTTGTGATTTGATCCTCTCTTCCCATAAATCAATCAGTTAATGTTTTGATTTAAGGAATTATGTTCATGGTAATAAACGAGTAATTGGACATTATGAGTGGTCTTGCCGGTGTAAGAAAAAGAAATTTCTTAATTTATATACACCGTGATCATGTAGTCAAACTTTCAGTGGGTTCCAAATTCGGGTGCATAGAGCTTAGAAATATTGAAAAAACCCTTAACTCGGGTGCATAGAGCTTAGGAATGAGACGAATTCGAATGGGGCAAATATTGTCTTAAATTAGCACTCCTGCATATCCAAAAACAAGAAGTCTTCAAATTCTTATTTTTGAAATCGTACTATTTTTTGCCTCATTTCACCTGACCAAGATCCAAAAGAACAAAGAAGTAACGAAATGAGACAACTCTTTTTGGTTCATCGTCCACGGGAAAATGTGGAATACGAGAGAACATTGTCGATTAAAGGAGAGAGAAACAATGACGTTCACACCGTGTTCTTTCGCTCTTTGTGTAAAGAGTAAGGCTAAAGAGTTTCGCGAGTGCCCGCTTAAAACCGTCCTTAAAGATAAGACAACGGTCCCTTCCGTAGGGCATGTGCCAGGCTGGGACTAAGGCCCGGCCGCGCATATTTTCTTTGACCCACCCTAGTCCGGCCCGGATTAGCGTGTGCCGGAACACGGTGCCCGAGCCATGTTATAGTATTGCCACTGTCCACATAAAAAGTTGGAAAAAGTTTATATAAGGATGCAACCTTACAATGTAGAACTACTGATGCGCCTAAAAAATCCATCGGAAAAAGTAGTTTTAATGTTGAAAAACCCTTTGATTGATCATATCGACATTGAAATGTATGACCATGAAAAATAAAAAGATTTTAAGTCTAAAAAATAGTGCATTTTACAACATATTATCTACACTGTCTATTTTCAAGATTTTCATATGTTTAAGATCTACTTGATTTTAACCATTTTTTAAATTTAAAATTTTATAATTAGATATAAAAAAAAATTTAGATAATCCTAAAAATATTTTACATCAAAATTATATATCATGATAAAATTTGAAGATGCACCTTACCTCTACAACTACGGATGCATCCGCATGCCAACTGCACCGTAAAAAGTTTTCCTTTCCCATATTCTTCCGAACATGATCCCCACCGTCCGTTTCCCGACACCTCATCCCGACCATTGGCATATTTCGGCGCAACGGTTCCCACTCAAAATGATTTTCCTCCGTCGATTTCACAGAAACCGTACCTAAAATGTCAACCTCACACTATATACGCCACGTGTAAGATATAGTCCGTGGGCAGAACTTTACCGTCGATCCTCAACGATGGACGGTAGAGATGAATAGTAATGAAAACGTTTCTTTGTCCCCGACAGGCCACGTGTTTTATGTAGAGCCAATTAAAAAATTAGGGTTTTCTACGACGTGTCCGAGTCCAAATGGGAGACTTATCCCTAAAGACTTGGACCACAGGTGGAACCCAAACCCTAGGTTCGGACTCGGCTTTTAGGTTTAGGTTCGGGATTCCGTTGGCATCTAAGGCTAGGGTTTGGTTCTAGGGTTTAGTCAAAAGCTATAAATACCGGGCTTTCAAGCTTTCTCCTCGGAGCTCCCCTTAAGAAAGCCATTAACGCGTGGTTTCCGTATCTGCTATTTGCTCTCTATTTTAATTGAATTTCGTTCTATTTAGCGGGGCCTTGATCCGCTGATTTGGAGTTCTGAAAAATTTAGCGGCCATCAATTGGAACTATTTTATTTGGAGTTCCTTTTTAAGGTGAACGCGGAAACCCTAGCGGTACCTCGGGCAAAAACTTCTTTTATTGTTTGTAAGGTCTTCCTCTGTTGAATTGATGGATTATATCTAATATTGATCGCTGAAAAATTGGTTGCATTATTGGTTAGCTTTTGTATGGTTGCTTTCATCACGGTTAGGGTTTGTTGATTTTGTATGTAGCTCTACAACAGAGGTTGCATTATCTGTAAGCTGTTATTTTGATTGTTTCATCGAGGTTAGGGTTTCATATTGGATCTGTTAATTTTGTATTGTGCTCTGCAAAATAGGTTGCATTTTCTGTAAGCTGTTGTTTATATGTTTCATAGAGGTTAGGGTTTTTTGATTGAATGTATTTATTTACTAATGTCTCTGCTAATTAGTTTTTGTTATCTGTAAGCAGTTATCTTGTCGACTTCTTCAAGGTTAAGCTTTCTTATGATTTTCTTTTTTTTGTTATCTTTGACTACTTTAATGCGCGGCTTCGTTTGGGATTTAGGGTTTTTTATTTGAGTTTCTTGGAGTTTCATGGCTAAAAGATATGTTATCTCATATCCAAGTCTGTTTTCTGATTGGTTTTTGAGGATTTGAGATTTTATGGTTGGAAGTTTATGAATCATTCGTTTCATGGAAACAAAACTATTGAATCATCTAGATATCGGTTATCTGATTGTTTTCTGAGAATATTTGGGCCTTATGGCTGTGAATCTGTTTTGACATCTGATTGCATGGCATCCAACTGTTTTCTTTGAGGAATTAGGGCCTTATGACTTCAAATCAGTTGTTTTGTGGAATAAGATTGTTCAAAATATTCATGGAACATTGAAAGTAGTTCACATCTCACTTTTATGTGGATTTATTTGTTGATGTTGGTGGTGAAAACACCATTTGACTTTATTCCAAACTTCATTTCGATGGAATATTTTACATATTTTCTGTTAATCAGTTGAGTTTTTTTCATTGCATGGTCATTTTGCTTGCTGGATCTTCAGCAGACTGATAAATGAATGGTTTAGATAAAGTTTTGTGATGGTAAAAATGATTGAAATAACAAATCATCTTCTATAGAAATATTATTACTAGTAGTTTATTATATGATTTCTGAGGGAGGGAGTTCTCGACCAAACGCCAATTTATTATATGTTTGCATAGATTGAATGATGTTCTTGAATGCTATTATTTTATTCCGGCAAAATTACTTTAGCCCTGTTGATTTACATCTATGATGAAAATTGTATAAATCTGAGCTTTTCCTCTCTTATCTGGATCATCTCAATTTATTGTATGCCTATGAAGAAATGTGGAAAAATAGTATCCGATCGATTTGTACTGTTTTCCTGTGACTTTTCTTTTTTCTTTCCCCCTTTTTTGGGAGATTGGATTAATTTTTTGAACATGTCCAGTATACTGGTTAAGTAACACGTTCCATTTTTTATGGAATGTAGTAATTTTGATGTTAACTGGCTGTCTCTCTATGAAAATAGAGAAGAAAAATTAAGAAAAAGTATTTGCTTGAGTTTCATTTATTCTCTCTCTGTAATATTGTGGTATATTAATGAGTGCAAGTTCCGCCAATTAAAGAAATACAAAAGTCAGATGTATTCTTTGTTGTTGGTCATCTTAGTTCCTTGGGTTTCTCAAAATGAATGGAGTTCTGATTATTTGTGCAATCAAGTGGATTTCTTTTGTTTGAATACGTTTAGTGTCTTGACTTATATGCATGCAATTTCATTGTTTCTTTTTTGTCTTATGAACTTTGTATATGAAATGTTTGCAATTGAATTATGTTCTTTGGAAATGGATCCTTTGATGCAAATCGAGCATCTGTTTCTATTTGAGTTCTATGGCCATTAGGTTTTTACAGGCTTTGATGTTCTTTTTTTGTATTTGCAGGTCTGAATGTTGTAATGGAGGGTAAAAGTGGGCTGAAGAAGACACGTAAATCCCATTTACAATACGAAGCTCCCCTTGGATACTGCATTGAGGATGTTCGACCGAATGGTGGCATCAAGAAATTCCGCTCAGCTGCTTACTCCAACGTAGGGCCATCTCTCTCTCTCTTCTCCCCCCTCCCCAAAAGCACAAAGACACAAACATAGACTCACCATTCACTTCTTTGCTGCCCACACACATTCACAATTCTTCTATTTTGATGTTACTCTCAATCATTCAACCCGTGACTCCCCCCCCCTTCTCCCTGTCCCTCTCTCTCTCTCTCTCTCAACCAACAAAGCAATTTACTGATATTGTTTCCTGTTTTTTATATGCAGTGCGCACGGAAGCCATCCTGATACTCTTCAAGCATCTACTGTGGAGTAGGAACACAATCTGCTACTGTCATTTTCCTTTTATTTAAATAATAAGCAAAAAAGGACTCCCCAACTGTACCTCTCTCTCTCTCTCTCTCAAACGCCTGCCCTTTCTCCTCCAATAAAAGACCCCAGCCACAATGGCCCTCGCAAGCCAATCCCCAATTGGTTTTGAGGGCTATGAAAAGCGCCTCGAGATTGTGTTTTCGGAGCCTCCTATCTTTGCTGACCCCCAAGGCCTCGGCCTTCGAGCCCTAACTCGTCCCCACCTTGATGAAATTTTGGCTCCAGCTGAGTGCACCATTGTGAGCAACCTCTCAAACCCACTTTTGGACTCATATGTTCTCTCTGAGTCCAGCCTCTTTGTGTACCCCCAAAAAATCATCCTCAAAACTTGTGGCACCACCAAGCTGCTTCTTTCAATCTCTCCAATATTAAAGCATGCCGCCTCTCTTTCTCTCGAACCGATCTTTGTCAAATACTCTCGAGGCTCCTTCATATTCGCTGGGGTCCAACCAGTGCCCCATCGTAGCTTCACTGAAGAGGTGTCCACCCTTGAAAGCTTCTTTGGAAACATGCTCAAAAGCGAGGCCTATGTTATTGGGGACCCAAAAACGCCCAACCAAAACTGGCATGTATACACGGCAATGGCACAACATACCGAGGGCCAACCCCCTGTTTTTACACTCGAGATGTGTATGACTGGGCTCGACCGAGAGTGCGCCTCAGTGTTCTACAAGAACAATGGGAGCTCAGCCTCCACAATGACTAAGCATTCCGGCATATCTAACATTCTTCCTGAATTTGAAATATGTGATTATGAGTTTGACCCATGTGGGTACTCTATGAATGGGATTAAAGACTCAGCTTTCTCCACTATTCATGTGACCCCTGAGGAAGGGTTCAGCTATGCAAGCTTTGAGGTGGCTGGGCTTGATACTGAGAAGGTTAACCTCGGTGAACTGGTGGAGAGGGTCCTTCGGTGCTTTTTGCCAAAAGACTTTACAATTGTTGTGCACTATTCAGGTGGTGCATGCTGGAGGGGTGGTGCGTACTCTTGGGGTGGAGCATTGGATGCGATGCCAGGTTATTGTTGCGAGAGAGTGGTGGATCAGGGATTGAATGGTGAAGGCAAGCTTGCTTATCAAAGCTTCTCTTTGATGGATAGTTGCTCTCCTAGATCGGTGTTTGGGTGTTGGGGCCTGGACGAAGGTGATTTCACGAGTGAGGAGGTGAGGACAATAGTAAACTGTGGTGGTTGTGAGGGGCTTTAGGGTTTGTGACTGTAGAGGAATGGCCTGCTGTCCTTTAGGTTACTGAGAGGAACACTTATGAATAAGCATATTGATATATAGGCATTTATGGAATAATGGCCGTGAGTCTATGTTGGTATGTTTAGGGTTTATTCTGGTTTATTGTGTGTGGTCCCTTTGGGTCTCTCCTAGTATTGTGGGGTTGTAATATGGTGCTTATTATGGGTTTCTTTTGACATGCTCGAGGTCCTGTAGTTAAAGATGTGATGTGCAGTTGAATATTTGCTTATATATTTTTTTGTGTATTGTGAACAAATTTTGTATTGACTCTTCTAATGTAGTGTTGTGTACTTCATTCATTGCACGTTGGATTGAGTGGTGGGGAGAGAACAAAATTTGCGTGCGCGGTAAAGGTTAGATTCGTTGAAAGGATCCATCTGTTTGTGATTGAGACAATGGAAGTGGCTTGTGATTGAGACAATGGAAGTGGCCCGGGGCCTTCCTTGTCTCGGGGTAATACATTGTTTGTAGCAATCCTTTTAAAAGGATGATCGGTGATACAGTTCGGGCACTTTAAAAATCGATCTGGATCGATGAATCGGCGATCTGAATCGAAAATTGGTTGAATCGGTCGGATTAAAGTTTCAAAAAAATTTGAAAAAATTATTAAAATGTATTATGAGTGTTTTTTTTTTAAGAATTTAATAAGAAATGAGGGTACTACATTATTAATTTTCATTTTTTTTATCAATTTGTGAATATTGAGATGTTTTTTTTCTGTATAAACTTAAGTGTTAAATTTGTATCACATAAAAGAAAAATCATAGAATTATTATAGATAAATATATAATTATACATGAATTATAATAAAGAGTAGATTTAATTAATGAAAGAATGGCTATTAAAATCTCATTTTTGACGAAAAACCTTAATCCGTTAAAAAAAGATAATTATTACAGCCTAACCAACTATAATCCAAAATTATTACAATTTAATTAATTATAATATTATATATTGAAATTATAATTATTAGTTTATATTTTATAATTATTTTATTAGATAAATAATAACAAATTAAAAATATTTTATAATATTATATATTTTAAAATGTATTATTGACAACTGCAAGAAAAATAGTACATTACATAATTTATAATGTAAAAGTTAATAAATAAAATAAAAAATTTTGTTATCAATATAAAAATTAATAAAATATGCCTCCTTAACATATATATTTCAATTGCTTATTAACAACATATATTTACATTATGTTTTCATTTAATGATGTTTGGGAATTATTCTACATCGAAAGCTGTATATTCAAATATGCTATATAAATAACTATGTAATTGGAAGATAAAAGCAAGTGTGAAAACACTAAGGCATCCGTGCATGTGCGTGTTGCACGTGTGGCGCATGTGGGAGTGGTGTGTGTCGCACGTGTGGCACATGTGGGAGTGGTGTGTGTCGCACGTGTGACGCATACATACGTGTGAAAGTGTTTTTGAGGCCTGAACCGGTGCACATGTGCACGCGTGTATGTGTGTGTGGCACGTGTGGGAGTGTGTGTGCGCGTGTGGGAGTGTGTACTGCTCGCGTCACACGTACTCATGTGTGGGAGTGGTGAGTGTCGCACGCGTGACGCATACACACATGTGAAGGTGCTTTTGAAGCTAAAACCGGGACGGAACTGGGTGAGAACCAACGGTTTTGATCTAAAACCAAGCAGTTCCCGGTTTTATGCTAGAACCGGCACGGATTGTACCAATTTTCGAGTCGAACCGGGCGAGTCCGGTTTGACTCGCCGATTTTTAAATCATTGATTTGTAGTATTGGTCAAGGAGTGCAACGGTTGGTATATGGTATAGGGTTGGCAATGGGCTGAGGACCGGGCCCGGCCCCATAAAACTAGGCGTTGAGCCACAAATGGTGGCCTGAGGGCTGGCTGGGCTGGGGCCGAGCCACCACAACTAGAGAGTAGAACCGGGTCTGGGCCAAGGCATAAGGGCTGTTTCAACCCAGCCATGTTTAGTTCTTTATTTCCCTTTTTCTCCTTCTTTTTTCCTCTGTTTCAGGCCCAGCTTTCCTTGGCACAAGCTGTCGGACCAGGTTTGGACCTGAGATCGGGGTGGGGCTAGGGCCAGGGCCAGGGCTGGCCCAACCCATTACCAGCCTAATATGATTGCAACCTTCATAATGGTCAAGGGATGCGGTGGGTATAAGCTGGCAACCATTTCTACAAAGTGGTCGAAGGTTACAGTAAAACATTAGCTGGTAACCATTTCTACAAAGTGGTCAAGGGTTACAGTAAAACACGGCAACCAAGGGTGGCTTGGCCCTAAAAAACTAGTGCTTGGGCTACATTGAGGGCCGGAACAGTGTGGGCCCATGCAAGGGCTAAAGCTAGTAGGCTTAGGCTAGGGCCTCTTTAGCCAGATCAGACCCGGGCCGGCGCTATAGGGAGTAGGGTCAAGTTGGGGCCAAGCAGAGCGGGGCTTGTGTGGTCTTGCAAGGAGTAAGGCCGGGTCATAGCCATCTTTATAGGAAGTAGAGTTGGCCATGGCAGAGCCGGTTTCAATGTTATGTTTCGATGTTTTGCACTATTTTAGTTAGATAGTATAGATTTAATACGTTTTTGAAAATAACATTAAAAAATAATATCATTTAAAATAATATCAAATTTATACCGTTCAAATAAAATAGACATTACAAATTAATGTTATATTATTTTTACAAATAAAATTGCAGTCTTATATGAACTTCTCTTTGGTCAAGTGGTGGCCACCACGCCAACCACATGGGTGTGGTGCTTTAAAAGTTTATCCGGAAAGTTTATTGAATTTTAGTGACAAGGCCAAAACCCAATTAGTGGCTATCAACGGCCTTCGTATAACCAGTGTTACCCAGATGCCTTTCGTCTCTGGTATCGCATGTCAATTGTGGCAACACTGTAGATATGTGGACACCTTTAATTTGTATGTGTTGCCTAAGTTTTCATCCTAACACCATGTGTTAATATATTAGATAATCTGTTGAATTTTTAGACACTTGCTTATTTGATTTTATATTGAAAGTCGTACATTTGAGGGATTGGAACCCATGATCATTTGAGATGCCATTAAAATCGGGGATTGCCTACAAATAGATCATTTATTTTTTGTACATAGAGGTCAAAATTATTCTCACTCATTAGCTGAATCACGAAGTCTGAGAATTTTTATTTTTGAACTTTGCGTCTATTCAATGACACTCTTACAACACTCATTTTGAAATTTAACGGACAAAAATAATTGTGATCTCCATGTATAAAAGATAAATCGCCTCTTTGTAAACAATCATTTTGAGATTAATATTTGCCGCGCCATCCATTTGAACTATCCATAATTATAGTACGGATGGGGTTCATATGAGTGATACATATGCAGGACTCCTTAAACTTATTTTTAAAAATGGATTTTTTAATCCATAATTCTAACAATTCATGATATAGATTAAGATGATCATGAATATGAAAGTTAAACAAAATTTTCTATATTTAAAATGTAATTTTTTTAAAAAAATTCTACACTGTCTATATTCATTTTAACGCCATGGGTTTCTTACAATGTCCAACTTAGAGATGAACGTTAGTGAATCAGTGAGCTCTTACAACCACTGACGCATAGGTGACTTTTCCTTATAGTATATATGTTACTTATATTTATGAATTGTATCCACTAAGTCAAATGCTATAAATACTTAATGATTCATTTATTATAAACAAAAAGTAATGAGCAATGAGAAGGTATTATTAAGGGTGCAGTTTGTATAGAGCTTAGGCTCTAAACAATCAAATTAGAACCTACCTTCAAATAGTATCGAAAAATGTGGTTTCAATACTGGAAATCTTTGTGATAGCCTTAAAATATATTTTAATCTTTATTTATAAATTTTAAAGCTTCAAAAATAGTGTAGATAGACAAATCTATAAAAACTTGAAAATTTTGAAAATTGACAGTTCAAAAATGTATTATAAAATACACTATTTTCAAAACTTGAAATCCATTTTTTCTCATGCGTTTTGATGTCGAGATGATCAATTTGATGATATTTGGACATCAAAACAACCCCTTCTAGTGAAAGTTTTGAAGTAGACTCTAATTTGATTATTTTGAGCATCAGCTCTATATGAACATTTCCTAATTATTAAAGTCATGCATATGTTCAGGTATGCCATGCCTTTAATGCATGAAAGTCTAATGAGACTCTTATAACGCATGCGCTCTTTAATGTATGGATAACTGCCCATGCATATTATTGTGAAGATTTTTATGAATATATTACTATAATTATTATATATGTATATATTTTTTGATGGGTATAATTATTGCCATATTTATAATATTTTGTGCATATGGACTCAAAAAGCGTCATTCTTTATAAAACATATTGTGAAATATTAAATTAAGAAGTTGTTGATATTATTCTTTATGCAATTTGAATTCATAAGCTTTTAATTTGAATTTAATTGATCTACATATATTGTACAAAATGCCAAATCTGGATATCAAGAATGATATCACGCACACAAAACAAAACAATCACGGCACTAACCCCTTTCGCATTGACCCCACCAAGTAAAAAGTTTATTTCTTTAATGAAAATAACTCTCGGTGTGGTTTGTACAAATCTGAGGCCCGAAATAATCGAAGCCAGGCTCGAAAGATATTTCAGTACTGAAAGTCTTTGTAATGGCCTATAAATTTATTTTTACATCTAATTATAAAATTTAGAATTTCAAAAATATTGTAGATCAAGTAGATCTAGGAATATTTAAAAATCTTGAAAATTGACTTTCCTAAAAATTTATTACAACTTGCACTACTTCCAACACTTGAAATCCATTTTTTATGATGTTCATAAATCTTGATGTCCAGATGATCGATTTAAGGATATTTGGACATTGAAACAACCTCTTCTACTGAATTTTTTGAGATGCGCCTAAATTTGATTGTTTAGAGCCTTGCCCTTATATAAACTTTTTCCTTCTTTAAAATATTTTTCTTTTTTTGGTTTTTTTTTTTGTCCAAGGCAGTGCATCAATGGCACGATGTGTGTTAAACCGGATTTAATAGGAGTTGGGAGCCGGTCCACAACTAGTTAATGTGCCAAATCGGCTTCATTATAACAATAGCCGATTGGCACAATGTGTGTCGGACTAGCTTGCCCAATTGAACCCAATACGACACACATTATGCTCGACCAGCTTCATAATAAAGATTGAAGAATGAAGGAAGTCCAGTACAATGACTGACTTCAATAGCGACAAGTCGGTTTGCACATATTGTGCTAGACCGGCTTCAAAAGAGTAAAAAAAAACAAAGGAAAATGTGCTTTAGAGAAGGGTAATTTCATTAAAAATTAGTAGCATTTTTTCTAGGGGGTAGACGCACAAAAAATATTTTTTAAAAATTTTTTTATGGAGTTTGTGATATGGTATAAAAAAAAGAATTTGTAATGTGGTATCAATTTTCGGTTTATTTTTTTTTTTTTTGGGCCCCGAGGGGGGGGGGGGGTTGGGTGTGTTCAAAGTTAATAAATAAATTTTGTGACAAACTTTAAACCATCCAAAAAGTTTAGGTTAGCCCACTAGCTAACATCTACAATGTTAGCTCAATGGTTCAAATTCTAATGGTCACAATTGCATTTTGTATTTTTATTTTAATTTTTTATAAATTTAAATCACTTAAAATTTTGAGTATGTATTATTTTAAAAAAAAAGAATCTAATAAAAGTATCAAAAAATTAATTTGAAAAAATAAATTGACCAAAATATAGGTATTTTGGTCAATTTATTTTTTTCAAATTATTTTTTTAATATTTTTATTAGGTGCAACTTGATGAGAAGAATTGACATCTCACATTTGGGCAGATCTGACAGTCATGACCTCACATCGTATTTGAATTTCAATTTACTTTTTTACAAATCCAAATCACAAGGTATGTTTTATGTATAGAGTTCTAAGCAACCACAAACCCTCTTCACACACGCATTCTAAGCAGTCAGGGACTCTCTTCACATGCGCATGTTTATGTATAGAGTTGGTCTATAGTTAATTGTCTATCAAAATATTAGGATTAATGATAGAACGGATTGTAATGGATGTATTTATCAAAAAGTCAATGTTTTTTGTATATCTTGGAGTGATTTATATATGCACCCTTTTTTTTTCTTTTTTCTATTTTTTCTATTTTTTCTAAAATACGAAATGCTCCATAAAGAAATTATAAAGATCGATCAACCTGCCTTTTTTATTTTTTTCAAACTTGCCCCTTGGTCTAAAGATGTCCACGATGACTGATGAACAATTCTATAAACAATAAAGAAAGCAGATTGACCAACCTTCTTTATAATTTTCACCTATAAATGAAGCATTTTATATTTTAGGAAAACTTTTAAGATAAAATATTATTTATCCTATAGTGATAATTGCATATAAATCATTGCTTAATGAACAAGTTATGGCAAACATTTTTTTTTTTATAAGTCTAACATTTATTTTGCATTTCCTAGGGTTTTGAATAGTGGATTATTTTCTCTCTCTATATATATATATATATATATAAAAGGAAAATATCTCCATACCCATAGGTTTATCAAGAAATGAAATTTAAAAATAGGGGATATGGAGATATTTTACCAAATAAAAATGTTACACCAAGGAAATGATGCGTGTAATTTATACATAGTTTTTTACTCTTTTAGTATTATATATAGGTAAAATATCTTAATATCCCCTATTTTTAAGTTTTATTTATTGATAAACCCAAAGTTTCAAAAGTCATCTTCTAACCCCGTGGCCACTTTAAACCTATTTTTTAACCTAAACAAATGTGAGAAAGACATACTCTTTTTAAACCCAATCATTTCTCTCTTTTCACTTATATACCATAAACTTCTCTCTTTATCTATTCGTGTGTCTCTCACTTTCTCTCTCATCCCGTGTTTTTCCAAATACGTCTCTCTCTCCCCTCTTGATAACTTCTCAACTCCATGAAGCGCTTCTCACTGTCTCTCTAGAAATTTGAGATGATGGCTTTTAGAAAAGGCATATCTTTTAGATTTGTTTGACCTAAAAAAACAGGTTTAAATTAGCTCAGGGGATTAGAAAAAATAAAATCTACAATTTTTATACCTAAATATATCTTTTAAAACCTTAGGCCTATTGTGAAATGAAACATAAAAATAGAGGTATCGAGATATTTTCCCTTTCTATTTTTCTTGTACATGTCTTCCTGAAATTTCAGCTCAAATGGATTTATTAAAAAAAATATTTAACACACCACACCTAAAATATCAACTATTATAATTCATGGATGCATCTATCGATGAGCATTTTGAAATTAAATTTAAACATAGAGGACATATCAAATAGCTCATCTGTTAGGACCTTTTTGATAACTTCCCCTAAAAAAATGAAAATGTAAAAGGGCTCGTGGAAGGTGGTGATAGACGCACCCAAGGTTCAATTTGAAGTAAATTTCCCTTAACATACCCTAAACACCAGATGGTTGCCATAAAAATCATTTTTTTATTTAACCATAAACCCCTCACGAGACACCAGGGTGGTGATTTTGCATCAATCCCAACATTCATAGACCATCCACTCTCTCTCCATGTGAAAGCTGCAACACACATGCATGGACACTCCCTCAACAAAAGCTGCAATTTCGTCTCTGAAAAACACATTCACGCATGCAAGTGTTATGAAAGCTGCAATTCATTGCACGTAGACTGCTTGCCAACTGCAAATGTGCCTGCAATTTATTCATCTCTCCCTTTGAGCCAGGGCAAACCAAGGACTCACCCGAGTAACTCAGAGTCCAAGTATCCCTTGGTGGTCTGACTTGGGATCTTAAAAAAAATTATAATTTTTTTTAAAAATAATAATTTTATTTGTAATATAGTTTTTTTGTATATATTTTCTATCATTTTGAAAAAGATTGGAAAATTGTTGTGATCATGAGTATTTATTTTTACATTTTCCCTTCTTTTTATATTATCTCTAAAATACCCCCATCACAAATTGATTTTTTCAAAATACATTTTTTCACCACTTGTTAATCGCATTTAAATGTGTCTTTGTTTACTTATGCCTTCAACATATTTTTCCTATTTTTTTGGATTTTTTTGTATTTATTTTTTTAACACTTTTTTGCTTGGCCTGACTTGGACCAAGCAACTCAAACTTGACCAGAGTTACTCAGGCTTGGGCATGGGCCAAATCCCCTCCCAAAGTCGTGGTTTTGCACTCTATTCTGAGCTCTCATTAAGATCTTAATCCACATAAAGAATTAATGGGGAAAAAGAAAATAAAAATAAATTTATTTCCTATTGTACACAAAAATTTCCATTTTATACAACTTCTCAGTGTTTTTGCTAGACAATAGCAGCTTCTCAAATATCTGACGCTAACACCTGGGGATACGATTTCTGTTACAAGGAGAGAGGTACTAGGTGTAGCTTTTGGGATCTTATGTGTTTGTCGTATCAAACTCCTTACAACGAGATTGATGTCATATATATACAACCATAAATGGATGGCCAATTAGATACAGAAACAAACCAATTCAATGTTTCACCAGCATTGCCTCTAACCTCTTGTTCCTTGCTGCATTCTTCAATTTCTCCAGTGCAACAAGACCAACTTGTCTAACTCTTTCTCTAGATAACCCAATTCTGAATTAAGAAAGCAAGTAATTTAATCAGATTCACCTGTTGTTTATTTCGAAAAAAAATTACAGAGATAATGAGTCGGAAGAAATAATTGATGAAGATTTTCAAGGATATGGAGGTGACTTTTTAGAGATGACAGTGTATTTTTCCTGGTCATATATGGAAAATAATTGGAAGAAAAGTGAGATGTACAAAAATCAGCTACATATGTGTGATTAAATAAAATACTATCCATTCAGTGATTTTTAAGAAGAATAGGAAAGAGAGAGTTAGAGATACAAATTCGACTATTATTGGTGTACAGATGCACAAACATGCTTGCACGGATTTTGTGCCTGTGAGTGTGTTTAAGATTAACTAATATACTAATCATTAAGTGAGGTCTGTAAAACTCCAAGGTTTTTGGACGTAAACGACACCTGCCCAAAAATGATCTGCAGATGAGGGTGGTGTAACATCATCCAATTTCTTCAAGGGGTTTACAAACTGTACTCAATGAATAAGGAAGGTAGCAAACCCCTATAATAGCAATAAGTTCAGTAACCATATAATTAAACACTCAATGTTACTCACTTTCTACTGATATCCTCCCATGTGTGGCATTCTTTGTCCAGTCCATAGTAAAGCCGTATAATATCTTGTTCCCGTTCAGCTAGGGTTGAACTTATAAGCTTGTTAACTTCTGCCTGCCAAAATAAAAAACACTGTCCCATATCAAGTTTAAGGCATTAATGGAAGCGTCAGATGATTTTCATATTTGGCCTAAGGAAGAAACCTAAAGCTTTTAAAAAATGATTACTCAAAACTATCTGAGATATTACTTGAAGCTTAAGAACTATATTTAAAACAACAAGTAATGATGAAATACCTCAACCCTAGTTGCTTTAACAGTTTAGTCTTTCCTTGATTTTTACTTCAAAAAATTGGGAATGCTAGTTCAAGTTGATTTTGCTAGAGTTGCAGTATGTCATTAAAGAATGAGGGATATCAAGATGAGGGGTCAATCAAGAAATAAAAGGGCTTATTGTAAACAGTCCCCAAGATGAAAATAGTTCCATTCTCTTTTCGATAATTCGAGACTAAAAGAAGTTCATGCAAGCAATTATGTAATATTTATTCATTGTACCCCTATAACCTTCACTCCATAGGATACCTTCACCAAATGTTAAAGTTTGAGAAGAAATGCCATTGCCCTATATTGCAAACCATATTTCAAAGGAGCAAAGGGTAACATAATGCAGGTGTGCATGACAGGGGACGAGTAGGGGGTGGGGCAAGGAAAAGAGAGGAAGAAAGAAAGAGGGGGGTGGGGAGGGAACGGGGGGGGGGGGGGGAAGAAATTCGGAAGAAAGATCAGTACTTTACCTTCAGCAACCATTCATCTACTCCATGCCATGGGTTGTTCATGAGATTGTTGTCAGCAATATACTGCAAATCAAAAGAGTCTAAAATTAGAAATACCAGAGTAGGATACCCACAACTTATCTTCTGCTATTCACAAGCAGGGTTTTGAACGTACACTGTGTAGAGTCTCCCCAGGAAGACCATTCAGTGTAGGGAAGGCTTCTCGATCCAATGAAAATACCTTTGTCATTGCCTGCATAAAGATTTTTTACAAGTAAGAAAAGAATAAACCTAAAACACAAAATGCAGCTAAAACAAATGGATGGCTTAATATCTTGATACCTCAGTTGCATTTTTAACTTTCTTCTTTGACATGTTCAAGCTTTTTGCTATCCTCTGCATTTCATGGAAACAAACTCACATTGTAAAGACTTAATATCATCAATATGACATTCATAATAGTAAGCCAGCCCCAACCCAAAATCTTCAAAATTATTACACTCAGAATCTAAGAGTAGACTGATGTAGAGCCACACAAATGGAAAGTTAAAATTACTGATAAGTAACTGGGATGGCATGATATTTCAGGCCTAAGAGTGTCAGGCTGTCAGCCTTCAGTGGACAGTAATTTATGTGGTTAATGCCTACAATTATCTCAACCACAAAAAGAAAAAAGGAAAACCCCAAATTCATCTAAGGTCTTTAAATCGTTTGTCAACAGAAATTGGTCTGAAGACAGTTTGAAATTAAACAAACTATATCATTAAAAAAAACAAAGATAGACATTTCTAAGAAGGGTACCAATTGGGACTCTTTTTCCTACATTTAAACCCACTAGAACCTGAAATTTGACAAATTCAAGATTTTCCAGAAAATTTTCTTCCATTTCCTTTTCTTGAATGGAAATATTTTCACCAACATTCAAAATTTGATAAAGTTTAATATTATCCTCAAATATGTTGTATTTGGCAGATGACAAATTCTTTACTTATGAAATCAAGTAACACATGCTTGAATTCTGAAAATACTGCGTGCACGGGAGGAACAAGAAAAAGGGAATATATAGAACCAAATTCGATGAGAACAAGAGGCATGTGCACTTTCATAGTGTAATTAGATTCCATCTGCATGAACAAAAGATGGCAAAACCTTCAAACAGATACAATATAAATTAGAAAAACCCCAGTGTCTAGACTTCTAACTCACATGTATGGAAGGTGTGAGCCCTTGTTCTTTAAGTCTAATCTTCGCATTTCGAATTAAACTTAGTCTTTCGTGTAAATGTGTAGGCAATCTTAGTGTCCTTGAGTTCTCAACCATTGCTCTTGAAACTCCCTGAAATAAGAGAAAGATAAAGGCACCATAAATATATGATTAAGATGGAATATGACCTACTGAGAATATATTACGCATGCAACTATGCAGAAGGGCAATGAGTTAAGTACATTAAAATAACAAGGTATTAGTGTTTTTGAGCATAAAATTTCAGGGTATTAGTGTTTTGGAACATAAAATTTCAGGGTATTAGTGTTTTGAAGCATGAGATATTTAACTATTTACAACAGAAAACCATCCTTAAGGTTTCGCAGTCGAATGACTATAGTTTAAATGATAATTAAATTGGAAAAATATCCCCTTACCCTCTATTTTTAACTTCTACATCTCATGATACCCAAGAATTGAAAATATTACTTGTAAGTCAAAGATGACCAACTTTTCTATCTTACAACCCCCTGGATCCCTTTGTCCACAAAGTTTTTACCCAAAGAATTGAAAAAATGACAACCTATCCTTCTTCTCCGTTAACGTGAGTATTTGGAACCACTCTCTTTCTCTCATCACGGTCTCTCTCTCTGTTACATTCCATTTCTCTTCAGTGATAATGGCAGTTGGGGCAGTAACAAAATTAAATGGGGCAGAATTCCATTTCTCTTCAGTGATAATGGCAGTGGGGGCAGTAACAAAATTAAATGTGGCAGTTTGTAGAGAGAGAAAAGGTACAGAGAGAGAGGACGAATCGATAGAGGGTTGGGGGGTTAGGGGCGGTTTGTTGTGGACCGGGGCTCAGAGGGGTTCAGAGAAGGGAAGAGGGGAGGCAGAGAGAGATCCAAGTTGCAGCCCCCGCCCCGGCCAGAAGAAACTGAGGTAGTCAGGCATAGAGAAAAGAGGTGAGAGAAAGGAAGATTGGATGGGGACTTGGGAACCTAACTTATAGATTGATTAGAAGAACCCCACCCCCACCTTGGGAGGAGAGAGAAAGAAAGGGTTCAGACTCATAGAGATGGGACAAAAGGGAGAGAAAATCAAGTGAGGGGAGGGACGGTGCCGAGGAGGCCTGGTGAGGGGGTGCCAGACTGGGGCGCCGGTAGCAGCCCCCCCTTTGATCTGTGCTCTGCCGTGGCTGGTGAACTCTGCCTTGGCTTTAGTGGCAGCTCAGCTTCTGCCCCGTCTGCTGCTGGTAGCAGCTGGTTGCGCCTCCTCAACTACGGCAGCATCCCCCTTCTCCAGGACATTCCCATGGTTCTCATCAACTCCCCCTTCCATGACCCCACCTCTGCCTCCTCCGGCCCTGCTGGTGGGCCCTCCTATTGCCATCAGCTGGTGCCTGAACACTCTCACTCCCAGGGACCGGAACGGCGTGGTGGAGAGAGCTCCGGGAACACAGTGGGAGGAACAACCACATGCCAGGATTGCGGGAATCAGGCTAAGAAGGATTGCTTGCACAGGAGGTGCAGGAATTGTTGCAAGAGCCCGGGGTTCGATTGCGCCACCCACGTGAAGAGCACATGGGTGCCGGCAGCTAGGAGAAGAGGAAGGCACATGGCTGCGGCAGTCACCAGTGAGGGGGCTGCAGCGGGTGGGGGAAAGAAGCCACGGCTGGCGGCCCCACTGCCATTATCACTGAAGAGAAAGAAATAGAATTTTGAGAGAGAGACTGTGATGAGAGAGAGAGTGGGTGGTTCGAAATACGGAGAAGAAGGATAGGTTGTCATTTTTTCAATTGTTTGGGTCAAAAATTTGTGGTCAAAGGGATCTAGGGGGTTGTAAGATAGAAAAGATGGACACCTTTTGCTTACAAGTAATATTTTCAATTCTTGGGTATCATGAGATATAGAAGTTAAAAAAAAAGAGTACGGGGATATTTTCCCAATTAAATTCTTCTTGCAGTTAGTTCACGTTTTTCTTGTATCACATTAGATTGTTCGATATGGCTCAATATTTCCCTATAGTTTTTATTAAGGATTCAAAGTCAGTAGCGGTCATAATTCTCAGCTACTATGAACCCTATAAAATCCCTTTAGGATTCAAAGTCAGTGACAGTCATACTTCTCACCTACTATCAAAAATGATCAGCTGCTGTTGAACCTAACCATGTCAAACTTCATAAACATAACCAAATTACCATTACCTTTCTACATGAAATATTAAAACACTGGAAGTGTGTAACATACAAAAAATAAACAAAAACAAAAACATAAATCATTTGCATTTTATTTTCTTCAAAACAGTGTTTATTCTTTGTAAATTCCCATAAATATCAACATTTTTGAAGAAAGAAAGAAAGATTTTTGCTTAGCTCTGGAAAATAAAAATTTCTCAATAGGCTAAGATTGGTGGTGCTTGCTCCACAACATTGGAGGTGCTTGGTAAATAGTCTAGAAAAATAGTCCACTGAAATGGGAGATATCATGCAGTTTGCATGTCACTCTAAGGATGTAAGAAAATAGATAAATTTGCTCCACAACATTATTCACCTAAATGAAATTTGAACTTCGGCTAATTCTTGAGAGAAGTGAGCTGATATAATATTAACTTTTCAACCTTTTGGGAATATATATATCACTTCATAATATTATTGAACTTACTGATGTGTCTCAAGGAAAAATGGAACAAGAATAAGAAGATATTTTTCAAAAGCAAGATTGCTGCTAAAAACTTATTCTCCTTAGGTATGAGGCATATGCATGTTAGTTATTGGAGTTCCCTGTTATTCACTCAGATCTTTGTAGATGCTTGAGAAAGGTCAAATTTCCAAGAGAATGTCCAAATCCAAATAGAAGAAAAAAATGTAATATTTTCCTTAGAGATTACTCAAAATGGGAAAAAAGAAACATGACTTTGGCCAAGAGATTTGAGACCGCAGGTACCATATACGATTAAGGCATATGTGACAAAAAGATACGAGCTCTTACCTGGCGTATCCACCAATATACATACGTTGAAATCTTAAAGCCCTTTGAGGAGTCAAATTTCTCAATACCACGTAATAATCCAATCAAACCACCCTGCATTAGTCAGAAACATTGCACGTTACGAAATCTTTCATACATTAGCACCAAGGATACAAACATACTCTAAATTATGACTTAATGCTCACAAAGATGTCAAAATTATTGAAAAAGAGATTACCTGAATCAGATCAGCCATTTCAATCCCCATGTTATCGTATTTCTGAGCAATAGACATCACAAGACGAATATTGCTCATTGCTAGCTTCTCTTTCGCCAAAGAACATTCAATCAATTTTGAATGCAATTCAGAGCGAGATATTTTCAAAGAAGAAGCCAGCAGCTCATCAGAGGGATCAAACCCTAGTTTCTCCTTCAACCTGAAATGATTAAATGTTTCAAAATTCATATTTCTTTGTAAATATTAAATTAAGGGATACGTTATGAATAGACTATTTTAATCCATGACAATCCTTCAATTGAAATTTACCATCCTCGAGCAAAGAATTTGTTGCGTTAATGCACCTGAAGAGGCACTAAGGGTATGCAGAATGGTGCAATGACTAATGTCCAGGGGGGAAATTCCTCAAGGAATACAAGAAGATGTTTATGTTCAATCTTGTATTCTTTTCTCAAAGTCTAATTGGTCCCGTGATGCTATGCACTTTACAAAATAAATTTTGCATCTCTATAACATGACAACATGATATGAAAAATCATGGTATGACCTGATTCTACGTCCATATGTCTTGTTCAACCTCATGCATCCATGTATATGGATTTCCCAAAAAATAGTTGCAGGCACAAAAGGTCGTGTTCCATGATGCTCAAAGATGAAATCTCCAATCACAGGAAAGTAATCATAATCCATTGGGTATCACCAGTATATGAAATGATGGATGTGATGGAGAGAGAAAGAGTGGGACCCACAAGAACAGGACATGATCCCAATGGTTGCTCTCACTATCTATCCATCATCATCCATAATCCCAATTGACGATTATGATCCCTAAGGATTAATGGTTTACATATTCAATTTTAGTTTAGTAAAACTTCTCCCAATCACTTCCCAGGCTATTCTAGTTCAAATGTTGGCTTTTATTCAATTGCTCTAATAATAGTAAACTCAATCAGTAAAACAAAACTGGAATACTGGCAATAAAGTATAGGACAAGTACCCTATCCTTCACAGCAAAACACAAATTTACCTTGATTTGTGCTCCTCCAAAGAAAGGCCGGCTCTAATCTTCCATGATAAGTGCACGACTTCGGCATGAGAAAGCAAACTATCATTAGAAATGCCTTTCACATAACCTCTAAAGTGACCCTGAAGCAATTCCGGGCTCACAATTGGTGTGGCTTGTTTTTTTCTACGCACCAAAACAGTGCCAGCCCTCTGATTTAACGGCCTCCTCAAACTATTTCTCCTCTGCCGAGCAGATGCGCCTGAACTGATTACTCCCAACTTTTTGCAACTTTCTTCACATAAATCAGTTGATGTTCCTGCTTGATCAAAAGAAAGGTTCCACTGTTTCTCCAGCATAGACTTCTGCAACAAAATTAGAGCCTCTAGAGAAGATTCGAAGTCGGGGTTTGCCTCTGTAGTTGAAGAAGAAGAAGAAGAAGAAGGTGCGTTCACATGTTCCTTTATAGCATTTATGTATTGGGTCTGTCTATTAGACGGAGAATTGGGTCCAAACCCAGGTGACTTTTTTGAAACTATAAAACTTTTATGTGAAACTGCTGGAAACTGTGTTGCCCCAAAATCATAGATGGGGATGACCCTTTCTATATCAGATGCCAAGAAGGAAGACCTTAGAAGCCTCTTCCCTGTGCTGATTCCTATTACCGCAGCAGTAGCCATTATGTGGTTTACTGGAGAACTTAACAACCATTAAAAAGCATGTGCATCTAGAAACATGCCCCCTTGTGTGAACTGTTAAGAGACTGCCTACCAACTAGAGAACTTAGGGAGTGCTTCTTTGACACTGTAATCACTAGAATACAAAGCCTGGAGAGAAAATGTAAAAGAGAGTTAAACAACACATACATAAGAGGAAAACATGCCAAACAAAGATAGTTCTTCATGATTACTGGAAGAAGGCTTAATACTTTCCAAGTGATTTCATGAAAAACTTTTCTATTGTACTAGAACTAATTCACCATGAGGAACATAAATGAACAGTGAGAAAGTCCACTAATACGGAGCTGACTATTACCTTACTATGATAGATACAATCTAACCTACGAATGATAACTGTTTCCACACCACAAGACATGCAGCTTGATCCTTGTAAACTGTTACGATAGCTTGAACAAACTAATATTGCTAGGGTAATCATTACTAAATCACTGTCTTCCAGAATTTTTTAATTTTTTTTTTTTGAATTTCTAGTTCTTACCCCTGGTACTTTTCTCAAAAAAGAAGAAGAAGTAAATCACTATCCTTTGGAGAATTTGAAAAAACCACAGTTTTTTTTTTTTACTTATGAATTCTGATACAAGGAGTTCATTTCCACGGAGTGGGGAGTTTTAAATTTTAAGGTTTGTTTCTCATTCGGTTTTGCTGGATAAGCTGGATAGGCCCAATGAGTTCACAAACGATTACACAAAGAAAAAGTATTGAAAGTCAACCACTCGGGACTCAAATTATAAAAAGCAAGTCATGTAAAACCTCAAAAACTTGTCCCCAGACCATGAAGAGATACAAACGATGGACATATGTGGTTCCCACTGACAAAGTTACTTACATTCAATGAATTGACCCTACAGCCTTCAACTTAATGAGCAAATGCTAATGGGAATTTGTTTAAATTATGTCAACATAAATCATGTTCATGAAAAACCTATACTTAAGTGCAAGTTACACAATTGAGTATTGTGATTAAATTCAAAGTCTAACCTAATATTATTAATCCCTACAGCCTTTGATTGAACACATAATTGCTACAATGAATTAATTCAAATAGTGTTAAGGGGTAAAACAAATTACGAAAGATATATAATTGCTGCTACAGGAGATACAAATCAAAATATCTTTGACCGAAAGTTTGGCCAGATAAGAGTGATTCCCACATTCTCAACTTATGCCACTAAAATAAGTGATTTCAACAGATAAAAATAAATAAATAAATAACACAAAATTCAGGTTTGCAGAAGAAATGATCACATAATGCAATTCAATTTTATCCAAATGATTGGCTCCAACGGCAAAAATTTCCTGGGGGAACCAGTTTGCTAATTCAAATTAAGTGACATTTGCCACCAATTAAAATGATATTATTCTTCGATACAAATCAAAAAGATCATATAATGCATTTTGGTTGAAGCGTATCATAATTTCGCATTACTATCACAATGGCCATGTTTTATTGGTATATATCTTAGTATTTTAAGGGTGTTTGAAAACAACTATGGGATTTTTCCCTTTATTTGGGTTTCTTTCTAGGCTAAGGAAAAGTATGGCTAAAGCCACAGTGCTTAGAGACAAGAGTGTCAATGGGTTTATAAGTGGGAAGGGGGTTTTAGGTGCTTTCATGTTGTGCGTACTTACGACACACGCGAGGGAGTGCGAGTGGCTGGCCAGCCAAGCAGGCTGTCCCTGTGGTTGAGGCGAGGCTTTGGACATTTCCTTTTGCTGATGTACTCTTTCACTGCAGTTAAGCCGCTTACCCAACCATTTCCCCACAGTCACAACCTCTCACTGGCTTTATAAGGAGCTCCTGAACTTTCACCATGGTTAAGGTTTTCACTCTCTTCACTGCCCAGACCTCTTGCCACGTGGCATGATTTTTCCATGTGCTGCCACTGTTTTTGCAGCCAATAGAATTCAACTTTTAGCTTTAGAGACCTCTAAAAATATGCACTGTTTCGAACCATAATAAAGCTAATTTTCACTGCAGTAAGTTGATAACTTGTGGTTTTCTCTTCACGATTAATTGATAATCTACGATTTTTTGCAGCAGCCAATTTCTTCCAAAATTCTCACTCAAATTCGTTCCCTTTGTTTCCGAATAAAAAACAAACTCAAGCAAGTGAATTTAAAAGGCAGTTCAGTTGGGTGACTGTTCTTTCTAGGGGCTTCCATTAAGCATGCAACTCAAAGAAGAATGTTCACAGTGCCACCCTGAGCTTAGGTTAGGTGTCTCCTTGGGGGTATAATCTTGGTTCGGAGTACTTAATACCTCAAAGACAGTAAGAGCATCTAGTGCCTTTGGGCCCATTGTTAAACCAAAGATTCAAAACAAGTTTGGATATTTCCGAGTTTTTCGCCCTATTTGGAATCCTGTGTTCCAATTTCGAAGTTCGATCCTTAAGCCTGGGCGTGAACCTCGTGTTCATTCCTACAGAGAAGTACAAGCTCTATGCTCAAATTCAACACTGTAGTTTTTGCACTTGGTTAAGGACCCAAAAGCCAGCAATACACAATGATCAGCACTCCACAAAGCATGAAGTCTATAAACAAAAAAACTTTACAGTATCATTTCACTACAAAGTAACACTATATAAGCCCTTTTCTCATACAGTCACACTCTTTTCAAGAGAAACTTATTTTCAATTTCTCATATACATCATCCCAATAAATTTCCGATGCAATATTGAATATCATTCAGATCATCTCACAACAACATGAATTGCTACAAATACTAAAGCTAAACTCGAATTGCAACAAATACCAAAGGCAAATACATTACAATTAAAATTCATCGAAATGGCAAGCTAAAACACCTTATCAGGATTTGTTTACAGATGAATCATGAAAACCCAATATCATAGATAAAAAAAATTGCTTCAAATTGAATAGTATCAGAAGGGGCGTTAATGGCGCACCTGAACAGTAAGAGGTGGTGCTCCTGGCGAAAATAAGGGAGCAATGGGCAGTGCAGTTTTAAATGATTTAGAGAGAGGAGAGAGAAAAGGAAAAGCAAAGGGAATTGTGAGTAAAAAGAGAGAGAGAGAGGACGGTAATGGGAGAGAGATGGCGAAGAGAGAGAAAGAAAGACGAAGAGAGAAGTTAGAGGAATAAGAAGCTAGAGAGAGAGAGAGTGAGATATGGGATTGGAGGGAGGCCATTGGTTGAGGAGATATTCCCAAAGCGTTCGAGTGGTGCAGAGGCCGCCAGCTTCATTTTATCTGATGACATCAAATTTTGGCGGAGGATACTAAACATAGTGCCACCAAAATACCCTTGTTTCTTAGGGCAATATCTAAAGGGTAGTTCAATACCTTTTTACCCGTCATCAGTTCGTGGCTGACAACATCCTTTTTGTCGCCGCATTTGGCGGTTGTTCAGCCTGGCTGAGCCTCCATTTCCAGCCCTATTTGAAGCAAGAGTAGGAGTAGCAATGGACCCGGACCCAGGTATACCCGAACAGGTCTAGGTATGGGTCCAACGTTTGGGCTTGGCGGGTTGGGTCCAAGTCCAAAACCTAAACCCGAATGCTATTCGGGTTCAGTACCCATAACCGGTTGGAAATAAAATACTTAAGTCCTATTCATTTGGGTATATTAAATATCGTATGCAATAAAAATTCATAATTATTTTTAGTTATTAAATGGAAAATAAGATAGTTTGCAATTCATAATCATCATTAAATGAAAAATAATATGGTTTGAAATCTATTGGCAGGTTGTGACCTTGTTGCTAATAATTTAGGTTGATGATAGTAAAGAAATAGCAAAAAAAAAAAAAAACCTTATAGTGAGGGTGGCAATGGACCCGACAGATATGGGTATGGGTCCAACTTTTTGATCCAACGGATTGGGTCCAGGTACAAAACCTAGATCCGAATACATTCATATCTGAGTCTAGGCCCAGCCTAACCCAACCCATGCCCGACCCGTTGCCACCCCTAACCGAGATGTTACTTAAGCTCTTCTATGAAAATTTGATTTGAAATTTTTTATGATTGCTCAATTTATCACCCTTATGTTTATAAATATTAAAATTATTGTAGTTTGTAGTGAAAATAAAGATTCTCAGAACTAAACCCCAGTGAGATTTGCATAAAGGGATCGATCGTGATCTTTATCCCTTGAAGGTTTTCCCTTTGGAGTCAGAGAAAGAAGGATCTCCAATTGAGAGATACGCTTTGGATAGAGATATAGACTCTTACATTAAGGCAACTTTTTTGTCAGATTTTGGGTGGTTAACAGTTTCTATGAGTCCATGTAGAAATGAGTCACTTTTTAAAAATTTATTTTTGAGATGGATTTTTGGACTTAATTTGTAATGGGACATGCAATATCTAACATGGAGATCATGAATATGAAAAAAGAAATAAATTTTGAAAAAAAAAAAAATATTAAAAAAACATTTGGACCATTAGTTTCAATTGTTTTTAAATAGACCACCTATTTGCATTCATCTTTAAGATGGATGCTTTATACCTTCGGATCGCATATTAGTCCCCATAAAACAATTGCACTTGAAATTATTGTAGTTTTTAGTAAAAATAAAGAGGGTTTCCTAGGACTAAACCCTAGTAAGCTTTGTATATCGATCATGATCCTTATCCTTTGAAGGTTCCCCCTTTGGAGTCATACAAAAAAGGATCTCAATTGAGAGATACATTTTGGATAGAGAGATATAGCCTCCTACATTAAGGCAACATTTTCATGGGATTTTGGGTGGTTAACTTTCCATTTAGGGAAAAGTTTTTAGTTGCTCTCAATGTTCTCTTCTAATAATGGAAAGAATGAGGATGATTGATTGGCGGAAAATTAGTTGGCAGGTTGAGTTTAGAAGGCAAAATTAATACTGATTTTGTCAAAGAGATATATCTCTTGAAAGGGCATGGATTTTGATTGATAGCATATTTGGACTTGCCAAGGACATAGCCATTTTGTGTTGAATCTTCATTTTCTGAGCTTGATTGGTGTGTGTATTCATCTATTTTATATCTAACCAACTGTTGATACAGTCTTGAGTAGGATCCAGCATTTGCAATCTAATTCTGCAAGAGAAGAATTCCCCAGGACTTCGCATGAATTTGTGCAAATGTATAAATGACTAAGTGTGAAATTGAAGGAGAGTATATAATGAGACCATTTACCTTTAGTACAAGGTGGTTACAATTAATCTTGACCATTAGATGTGAAATTGGTTGGCTGCATTTATTTCTTTGACTAAGCTGAAAGTTTAAAAGAAATTTTTTCGAACTTGTGACACACCCAAGCTATCAGATTTCACATTGGATGGTTGTAAGCAATTGTGAACATCATGTACCAAAGGTGAATGGTCTCATTGACCCTATGCTTTACACGCAATTTGTATGTGATGTGTTTTAAGCATAGGGTAAATCGGTTGACAATTGAAATTTTATATGTTGGACTTTGGAAGTGGGTATGGCCTTTGATAGAGAATAATGTAGGAACATAATCTAGCCGACTCCAAATAATTGGAATAGACCATGGATGATGATGTTAACTTCGGAAGTTGGTGAAACGGACAAAGAAAAAAAGTGTCCCTCCAAAGGCAAGTGAGATAACCATAGTGCATTATTGGTAGAAAAGGAAAAAAAAGAGATGGTGTTAGTTTTGAGGCACGTTTAGGATGTTATTTGAAGATAATATTTTTTCAACCGATAGAAACTAGTGCGCACAACATATCCTAAACATATTAATCCTCAAGATACCATGAGAAAGAAAATACCAAAATCAATTTAATTAACCAATTATACATGAGCAACAAAAAATTATGGAGCATTAGAGATTGCCTTTCTTTTGAGCGAAAAAGAAGAAAGGCAGTATAAACTGGTTCAAAAAACACCTTGCCATTATTAGAGGGGATGCTTCCCTCATAAAAATATGAGACATTTACGTATGGACCATATTGGAGGGGGTCAATTACAAAATGGGATCACGTGTGTCCCAAATTACAGGTGAAACCCCCCCTCATGGGGTTTTTTTTCTTTCCAAGTTACCCCTGTCTGGTAATGTGAACATCGGATATGTGGAGTTTATATCGTGCAAAGCAAAACAAATGTCCGGTGTTTAAAATACCAGACAACTATCTGCTATCCCCAAAACCAACAAGCCTCTCTCTCCAAACATCGTGAATTTCTCTCAACTCTTATCTCTCTCAACCCTTCTCTCTCACACTCTCTCCCCCCTAATCATCTCTCTCTCCCGTAACCTATATCTCTCCTATAACCTTACAATAGAAACTCAAAAGGTCTGCATAAAAACCTCCAAGAGCTCTCCCATTCCTCTTTTTCTTCTTCTCTTTGTTTGCATGATGGGCTTTGGCCCATGGCCATTGTTGCATTTCTCTCTCTGCCTCATTTTCTTTCTCTAGCTACCGTCCATAAGAACTAGGCTATTGTTGTGTTTTTGGCACATAGTGACGAGAGTTCTTCTTGTTCTTCAACGTACATATCTTGCTAATGCAGCAAAAAACAAGATCAGCTAATGAGTAGTAAGTAAACTAGGTTTAATAGAGGAAACATGACCTCTGGTTTAATGGAGGAAACCTGGCCTCCTTAACACACAAGTGTTGGTTGGGGTTTAAAAGCTTCCCCTCCCGAAATATTACTTCTCATTAAATACTCAAGCTACGTTGATTATAAAAAAATAACCAAAAGATCAGTTTCTACTAACTACTCATGTAATCTATCTGATAAACCCAAAAAAATGGCCAAAATATCAGGTTCTATTAACTACTCATGTAATCTACCTAAAGACTCGGTCGTACTCAAGCCACGTTGATTACAAGAAAATAGCCAAAATATCCGCTTTTATTAACTATTCATGTAAATCTACCCAAAGACTTGATCAACCGGATACACACGAATTTATTAACTACTCCTACTCAACTCTACATGATATATACATAATCATGCCTGTCATATTTACCATGATTATTATTAAAGAAGATGAGCTACATGTTAGGCACGTAACATCTCCTCCCTCCTTAAAATTCGGTCTTGTCCTCAAGACCAAAATATGGAAATTGCTGGTATGTTGCAACGATGTTATCTTCTTCTTCATAATAGGCTTCAATTAAAAACAACTTCTTACATCGATGCCCCGTCACAAATTTCTCGTTAAAATTATAGCACAACCCTTTTGTACGTCTCTCTTGCAATTCAACATGTGTCATCTGTCTAACTGGAAGCATAGGACCGATGTTGGTTGCCTCCTTGCTGGTTGTGATGGACTCCTTCGCATCGGACATTGGAACATCTCGCCGCTGCGAGAAATTGTGGGCCTCGTACAAACGGGCAAGTCCGAAAGCTGCTGATAAGGTCGTAGACCGCCCTGCTAACACGTCTGCCTTGATGTTGTCCCTTAATCCGCTAATGAAACAGCTGACTCGGAGATTAGGAGGAAGATACCCCACCTTAGTGAGTAACCATTCAAATTAAGTTTGGTAGTCTGGAATAGTTCCAATTTGTTGCAACTTAGCTAACTCTCCAAATAAATCTTGGAATTTTGTGAGACTGTACCTAGCTTACAACCCGTCACAAAACATCCGGTCATTTTGCCTCCTTCTTATTTTAATAGTTGGTATTACAGCTGAGCGTCACCCTCCAAATGGAAGGACGCAAGAGCCACATGTTCTTCCTTTGGTGTTTGATGGAACTGAAAAAATTGCTCCACCTTACAAGTCCAACTCGTCGTGTCTTCTTTACTATTAAAGCGGGGAAAATCGAGTTTGACAAGCTTTGGAGCAAAGGATTGCTGCAATCCATTTTGACGGTTTCCATTGGTGTTCCCAGGTTGTACTCCATGGTTCTAGAGTGGAGCCCTTGAGTTCTCCCTTACTTCAGGTTCACTATTAGCTGGACGTGAACGAATATTTTTGAACAACTCGTTAAGTTTGTTCATTATCTGTTGTTATCTAACATTGAGAGGGCTCATATCATCTTCCAACTTCTCCCCTCGTTGATCAATGTCTTTGCTTTGATGCCACAATTGTACGTACTAAGAAGAGTTCTTCTTGTTCTTTGACGTACATATCTTAC